GAAATCCCCTGTAAAAAGCAAACCACTTATCAAAAAGATCTTTGGAGAAACCATCCTGTTACACAAACGAGCAAACGCAGATCATTCCAACATTTATGGTAAAATGCATTTTCATCACGAAACATGCAGCATAAATAGCCCTTTCCGGCCTGAACTAGTTCCAGCAAAAAAAAAGACAATTTTCTCTCTGCTGCTCATTTTTTCCTAACCAAATGCGGGTGCAAAGCAAAATTCGAAAGAGAAAGAGGTTGTCTGGAGAGACCTCTAGCAGTTGGTAAGTCAAAAATATTTTCGCGCAGGTAATGCAGAGTTCTAATCTGGTGACGAAAAATTGCCACCATCAGGACCGAAAGGGTTAGAATATTTCAGTGTATGCAATATAGCGCGTTGCGATAGAATGAGAACTCGCCATTGTTATAATCCCGATATCAAGATGAAAGGGGGACGACGCGGAACCACGAAGAGCGAGATGAGAATCAACGAGAGAAGAAAGAAAACAAGAGGAAAGTTGAATGAATGCAAACAAATTTAGATCGCCGTTCGATGAGAATAGCTAAATCACCAATGAAAAAGCAAAATTGAAAACTGGAGAAAAGATCCCAAACCAGCCGACGCATCAGAAAAACAAGTATTGAGGCAAGCAAACATCTTGCACGACAAACTGAGCAGTGTCGGGCCATCTTTTGAAGGAAAATAAATAATATAAGAAACGCTTCGAATATAAGAGACAATAAAAATTAGGCTCTCAACTAAGATTTGCCCAGAGAGCCAATGTTTTTTCACTGAGCGGCTTGGACCAAAACGTGTAAACCACGGCTTACGTTCGATCCAAACTGAAGGAAAATTTTTGCATTTCTCTGATTTCCTTTTTCTTGGTTTCATATACGTCTAACTTATTCAGTGAACAGAAAGCTTCCGATATAAAACTTCTCAACGCTACTAATGTTGTGGAGTTCATTGAAGATGCAAAAGTTCCACTTCTTAAGGAAAGTCTGCCATTTTTCTGACAATACCAGGTTCGCTCAGAAAAAAGACACCAGTTTTTTGCTTCATGCATGTCCCCTATAACATGCAAAAAACCGTTTTGGAAAAGCGCTTCATGTCCTGAAAGACTTTCCCGGTAAGAAAAAAAACTCTTGCTGATTAATTGAAACTTTCGGCTGGCAAAAGGCTCCTTTGGCCCCGAGTCGATACGAAAACTTTCCAAGACCACTGGCCTGGTAAGCGGTGCCATATGTCACAACACCACTTATGCCCAGGCAATAAAGTAATATAGCCACGTGTAAGTATGTCGCTTTATTATCTAGGTGTAGGTGGTACGTGACAGCTGTTGCTCTCAAAAATAACAATTCTGTCAGGTGATCCAACCCCCTCAGCGAAAGGAAATAAAAGATATGAAGGACAAACATCAAGGTTGAGTAGGAACATAGGTAGTTATATAAGCAACGTCAATTCGAAATGGCATAAATGATGGGAGAAAAAATATCGGAAGCAAATCTATGGATGAATAGTTAACAAGAGTAAAGAGGAAAATGACTTGAAAGTGACCTGAAGTGACAACCGTATCAAAGAGAAATAATGATCTTTACGTCTGACAGTCCGTCTGTGTACAAGGTTGTTTGCCTCAACAAGCGTTCGTTCACCATTCATCGTGTCACTTGCCGCACACCCCTCTAACAAGTGGCGGTGCATGCCCCAAGTGGATATGGAGTGACCCTTGATGGTGGAGCACGCGCAAAATTGGCTGGTTCACACCAAGAACCAGTGAGATAAATTCCAAAATGATCTTGCTACAAGGAACACAGTGATTGAGATAAGCGACAGGCAATCAATTTAGATACGAGACATAGAATAGGATTCGGACATGAATCACTACTTCCATAACTAATCCTAGAAAAAAGTCGGCTACCGATGTATGAGAGATCAGTTGAATATTACTCACGACCAGAGATTCGCACAAACTTCAGCAGCAAGAGCCAAGTAAAGTCGCATCCCAGACAAATATTGAGGATACACCGATCAACTTTGAGTATAGCTTGGGAAAAGTTGTTGTTTTTTTTGCTAGGAGAGCAGGATCAATAAAAGAGCCATATCACTGGTCTTTGGAATAATCCAATAGCAAAGCCTATAATTTTGCACGGTTGGAACCAAGGTGCACATGCGAACAAAATGGGTCAAATCAAGGAAGTAGAGGTATAGGTGCTTCAGCAGAAGCCGTCTGGCGAAAAAAAATTAACTGCACATGGTCGACAATTCCGTAATTTCAACTTCTATTCACTGAACTTCTATTCAGTGGTCAAGGCGCTAGATGTCGCATATGGTTTACGATTGATTGATAGAAAATGGCCATTTTCAATTTGACATTTTTATTCGCATGGAAAAGATTGATATTGATTTGGACGACCTCAAAAAGGTGGAAAGTCTTGCGAATTGAATTTTTACGATCAGTTCCTGTACTCGAAGAACGCCGAGATAAAAAGTATCGAAAATAGATGGAACGGAGAGATCAAAACTGAGAGCAAAGGACGAAGAACACGTCAAAGAGGAACGAGGAACGAGAAGAGAAGTTGTAAGAGGCAAAAAAAGACTTAGAGAGACAAAAGGCGATGAAAATCAAAAAAGAAGAATCAGGCAAAAATTGTCAAGCGTTGAAGAGATTTACAAAGTCAAGAAAAAACTTGTCGCTTCCCGGAAGCGCTCAAGATCTTCCCAGAAACAATGTGATCGTTTGTAACGGACAGACTGCCACTTCGATAAAGGGCAGACAAAGAACAGGTGGTCAATGATGAATGGGAACACATCATAAAAAACCTTTGCAAAGCTATGACGTGGTCCCCAGCAGGCAAAGGTCTTCTCGAAGGAAATGTCGATCACATTCTATTGATCGTTAGAGCACCATCTGCCAATCCCATTTCACGAAGATCAAAACTTTAACAAGACCCAACTCGATCTGCAGTAAAAGGAGACAATAGATAATTGTAGAGAAGTGCAAATGTGGAACCAAAGGCTTGACGTCCCGTCCTCTTCAGGAACACTCAACATTTACCCCACGCCTACCCAAATTATTGAGCAGATCTTTTTCCTTTATACGGAGATTACAAGCCAAACAAACCAAACTCACATTGGGTACTCCGAATTCGGCACACGAAGACGTGATATGCAGGAAATATGAATGAAAATCGGCACGGTCTACACTCTCCTCATTTGGCCTCTAGTCTCTTTCTTACTTGAACTGAATGATAATCAAAATAACTAGCACATGACCACAGCTTCATCCCTCTAGTACCAGTCATTTAAAATCAAACTTTATCACTTTTCTTCTCCCGACTATGGAAGGAAAGGAGCACAGTGCAACGCAGACTTTGGAAACTATGAAATCTCATATTTTTTCACATGAGGCATGATCTTTGCCTTCTTTACCCATCAAACTCACTGCGTACCCTTCCCTGTATGCCTCAATCTAGAACACTTGATTTTTATGGGCATCTTCAATTTAAACGGACGAATTTACGATGGAAAAGCAACCCATTCCAAATTGAGGTAGAGATGGTGAGTAGTACCAGAAAGAAAGCGAAACCACGAAAAACGGCCCAGAACCGGAGAAATGGGACCCCTTCCTTGTCCGTTGATTTGAGCATTGATGGGACTCTCATCGCTTTGCCCTCTTCAACCCTACGCTCTCTCAGCTATCTAATCACTCGCCACCTATTGTACTACGGCGAGTGATCAGACGATCGGTGGGCGGAGATCGCCGAACTCGCCAACTTTGAGCCATGCTAGATCTCAGAGGTCAAATCTTTCGATGCCGATTGCGTGTCTGTCCGCACCCTCAAGAGATTCACCGCTCTCCCCACTAGGCGATTTCTCCCTTCTTCGACCTTCGTTCTTTCCGTGCAATCCTCCTTTAAAGCACAATCGATGATCACCCTTCAGCCGAGTCCCTTCCTTCACCACTGTGGAAGGGGTCGTAATTTCCACCGGTAGTAGTGTATAGGTTGTATTCGCGCAGTTTGGAGACTCGGTAAATGAGGAAAGCTGGGCGCGAAATGAAATAGCGGCGTAAAACATAAGGGCTGCTGTTTTGTTTGGGCTTTGAGCATTCAGTTGAATCACATTGGAGGACACTATCAACCCAAAAAGGCTGCACTGTTCATGGAGGAAAGTCCTGGGAAGACTACATAGAAGTGGCTGAAGGTAGCAATGTCAGGCCAATTCCTCGACTCAGATTCTACTCTGACCCTATTAAACTAAAGGATGAAGCCTACTCTTACTTCTGTAATCGCTTCAGAAATGATAAGGACTGATTTTATCACAGATTTAGAGGATCTCTCGATTGTTATCAGTGTACGCATTGATTTCCCTTTGAGAGCAGAGAAAGCGAACACAGCCGAATTTGCGAGTCGGGCGATTCCGAGATGCGGGCGAAAGTGATTTAGATACGTATTGTTCCACCGTATCGCTGACCTGTGTGAATCACAGATTGGTCCCGATAGCAAACTCAGGTGGATTCTTGGAAATCTATCGAACATCAGTCTGCTTTCCGCCTTTACAATCTCAATTCCGCGTCTGAACGCAATTCATCGATTGCAATTCAAATCTAATCACTATCATTACATAGGCTACTAAACCATGAGTGGCTAGATAAAAAGCTGAGGTCGTCGTCCTCCTCACGCTGTTTTACTCTGAGCTACAGAAAAACTTTCTTACAGCGGTGATCTTGTAGTTTGAATGATTTTCTCAGAGCGGAGAGTAAAAATCAAAAATCAAGGAAACAAAAGAAAGAGAATACTCTCCAAATGAAACACTAGGCGTGAACGCCTCGAAACCACCGACATCAGAAACACAACACATGTCATTCGGATGTAATGTGCTCTTCACAACATCGCAAACGTCATTTGCCGACAACTACTACACTTGGGTTGGTGGCCAGCAAATTTACAACCACCAAGGGCTTTCTCATAAAAAAAACAAATTAAGTTGAACAAATCAGGCTCATGTTTCTATACCAGCTCTGGCTTAATACACTTACCTTGTCCCAACAAAGCCAAAGACTGAAGATCTTTCGTTGTCTCACAAGCTAGAACAGCATACGGAAGACACAGGCGAACCTGCAGCTCCTCTCTGAAAAAGATATAATTAAAAAAGAGAAGTAACACGTTAAATAGCAGAATAGTGAGAACAAATTAAATAGAACCTATTAACCAAGTGAACAGACTACTTACGGATGAAGACAGTAATGCTCAATTAGTAGTGGTAACGAACGAAACGAGTACGGGCTGCTCTCTAATCGAATCTAAAACCAGCTCAATGTAAGAAAGAGGACGAATCGAATACGTTTACAAAGTAAAACATACAACACTTCCTCTCGTCCCGTATTGCACAATGTAGTGATCGGTTAGAGTTTCGTGCTCTTTTGACAGCCTTACTGATATGGCCATGCAACCAGGTTTTGAAGACGCTCGGACAATAAAATTCTGCAGAGAGCTCAACTTTCAGTTAACAGATTTGATAGATCCTTATTTGAAATTCCTTAACTTACGCCTGGTTCCATTTGTCTTAAAAGATGAGTTGCTGCGGGACGACCAAGATGTTGTAGGTACCTAAGTAGGAATTCCTAATCACACTTTTAATGTTTCCTTGATGATAACTGATCTAATTTACTTGAGCGTACTAATTACAAACTGATAACTGAATAGTAGTCAGCAACCTACAGTATGAACGAATCAGACGTCACTCACCAGATAGGGTGACTGCGCACTATTCTTTCAAGCAAAGTCACTTTTTTCTCCCTAAGAGGTGGCGTTTTCGATGCTGACGCCTGCATTGTGAGAACACCAGCATAGTGGTTGATCGACGGAGGCTTTGGACGCTAAAATTGCATTCAGTCGTCTTTGGTTTTGTAGAACTGCTTTATACAGCTCATTCCCACTTCTCTCAACATCGGCTGGATGAAGAGCGCAGATACATTCGCAGAAATTTGGCTTGTCGGTTAATAGATAAACCTATTTCTTTCTTGGCCCAAATGAGCAGAAACTGTCAGCTTAATTGACTGATAGGTTCTAATTGCTTAGAGCAACACCCCAAGCGGAAGTCGTGTCAAGAATTCATTCAGTAGAGAGGAGGTGGTATAGAGTGGCCCACAAGTATCACAGATGTGCCGTTTCGCGGCTCGAAAGAGCACGACAATGGCGCCAGGGTCATACAAAGTTAGCTTTTGGCGAATAATCTTACATCTGAACGAGCCAGGTCGCGCACATCCCATGACACGCAACGTGAACTACGGCAGAGCGGCTAATTCAAGTACGCACGGGTTAGTCCAGCCGTAAGGTAGAGAAGTTCGCACAACTTGTCTGGCCCCGCCTTTTCTTTATTTCAAGGGAATCTT